ACATCTTTTTCTAACAAGACACTAAGAGGTTTAGCAATTTTAGCAAAATCACGAATGAACCTCCTATAAAATCCCGCATGGCCTAAGAAACTTCTTACCAACTTCACGTTACTAGGAGGTGGAAGTTTTTCAATGACAACAATTTTTGCCCGATCTACCTCAAGTCCGGCGGAAGACACCCGATGCCCAAGAACTATACCTTCTTTCACCATAAAGTGACATTTCTCCAAATTTAAAACAAGGTTAGTTTCTTCACATCGCTGCAAAACTCGAGATAAATTAGCCAAGCAATTATCAAATGAAGTACCAAACACCGAAAAATCATCCATGAATACCTCCATAATATTCTCAATCAAATCATGAAAATAGCCATCATACATCTTTGAAAAGTAGCAGGAGCATTACATAAACCAAAAGACATTCTACGATAAGCAAAAATACCATAAGGACATGTAAATGCCGTCTTCTCTTGGTCTTCCGGAGCTATCAAAATTTTATTGTATCTGGAATAACCATCAAGAAAACAATAGAAATCATACCCCGCTAACCTATCAAGCATTTGATCCAAAAAAGGCAAAGGAAAGTGATCCTTACGAGTGGCGGCATTTAATTTACGGTAATCAATACAAACACGTCAACCCGTCAAAAGCCTAGTAGCAACAACACCATCATGCTCATCTTTTACAATAGTCATGCCCTCTTTCTTAGCCACAACTTGTGTAGGACTAACTCATTCACTATCAGAAATAGCAAAAATCATCCCAGCATCTAACAATTTAAAGACCTCTTTTCTTACTACTTCTTGCATAATTGGATTTAGCCTACGTTGATTTTGAACACATGGCTTATAATTATCCTCAAGCAAAATTCTATGTATGCAAATAGAGAGACTTATACCTTTTAAATCGCTAATCGACCATCCAATCGCCGACTTATGCCCTCGTAAGACTCGCAATAATCTCTCAAGTTCCGAATTAGAAAGGTAAGAAGAAACGATTACCGAATATGTGTCATTCTCTCCAAGATATGCATACTTCAAGTGTTCCGGTAAAGGCTTCAACTCTAACTTCGGGACTCCATCCTTCTTCTCTCCTTGACTTGTAGTTCCTCCCCATTCATCACGTCTCAACTCCAAAAATGCAGCTTGCCTCTTCGGGATTTCCCTACAACAATCCAACACCTTAACACATTTAAATAATTTTTCTTGAAAATGATCAAACGAAGAAGCAGCAAATAATGATTTTCGAACACATAGATCAAAAGGGTCTTTAGACAAGGAAGTAATCATGTCATTGTCGAAGGAAGCCTTAAACAACTTCAATCACTTTACATTCCTCGATCTCACCATCCTCATCACTACTCTTCATCGCTTGATATATGGAAAATGTGATGCTCTCATCGTCAATTCGGAGAGTAAGCTCGCCATTCTTCACATCAATCAATGCTCCCCCGGTCGCAAGAAATGGACGACCCAAAATTAGCGGAACCTCCTTATCCTCCTCCATGTCGAGGACTACAAAATCAGCCGGGAAGATAAACCCCTCGACTTTTACCAGTACGTCTTCCACAATCCCCTTTGGATAAGACAAGGATCTATCTGCCATTTGCAATGCAATCGTCGTAGGTCTAATCGTCCCAATCTCCAACCTCTTAAAAATGGATAATGGCATGAGATTAATACTCGCCCCCAAATCACACAACACCTTCCCAAAACGCTTTCCTCCTATGATGCATGCTATTGTGAAGCTCCCAGGATCCTTGCGTTTGAAAGGCATCTTCTTTTGGATCATAGCACTATACTCCTTCGTCAAATTCACCTTCTCATACGCCTTGAGCTTCTTCTTCCTAGCTACCATGTCCTTCAAGAACTTAGCATATTTGGGCATCTCCTGCAATGCATCAACAAGAGGAATGTTTATTTGAACCTTAGTAAATATCTCACGAAATTTGGCATATTGTTCATCAATTTTTTTCTTTGCAAAACGTTGAGGAAAAGGTAAAGGAATATTAGGAGTAGAAGTGTTAGAAGTAGATATTGGCTTCTCAGCCCCTGTAATTGACGATTTTTTGGGGGCTCCACTACTACTTCCTCAACTTCTTCCTCTTCTTTGCTTTCCTCATGTACGACTTTTCCCAACTCATCAGACGGCATCCTCGGGCCCTCATACTCCGTGCCACTCCTCAGACGTCTGGCTTTGCATTGCTCCTTCGGGTTCACCTCTGTGTTGCTCGGAAATTGTCCCTTCTGATGTTGACTCCAAACTGCGGTGGCTAATTGCCCAATCCGCTGCTCCACCGACTTCAGTTGATTCTCCATTGACGCAACTCGTGCGTCATTCGCGCTCAATAATTGTCGTGTCTGGTTCATAAATGATTGCGTCTGATTCATAAATGATTGCGTGCTAGTCATGAATGAGGCGAGAGTATCTTCGATTGCTGGCTTCTTTGGCTCGTTGATGACCCCATTGGTCACCGAGAATCCTGGGGATGGCTGTAGAGCATTATTCGGATTTGCATATGAGAGATTGGGGTGATTCCGGTTGCCTTGGTAATAAGTGTTGCCCGCTTGAGGCCCTCAAAAATTTCCAAAATTCCGATTATTCACATAATTCACGTCCTCGACCGGTTCTCCAACTCCTACACTCTCAGTCTTTACTCCTTGCAAGTTATTCATCAACAATGCTACCACATTAGCCGCAATAGATGACGCTGAGTCCGTCTCATTAGTCGCCGCAACCCTTCTAAGCATAGTTCTCTCAAACGGCCATTAGTAGCTATTCGAAGTCATCTCCTCAAGAATCCGCTTTGCGTCATTTGGTCGCCTTCCCAAGAGAGCACCTCCAGCTGAGGCATCCACCATGGCCTTCATCAGGCCACTCAATCCATTGTAAAAGTAGCAAATATGGTGCTTCTCTGAAAAACCATGCTGTGGGCACGTCCGAAGGAGTTGCGTGTAGCGCTCCCAAGCCTCATATAAAGGCTCGTTATCTTGTTGCTTGAATTGAGTGATCTCCGTCTGAAGTCTCAACATCTTGCTCGGTGGGAAGAACTTCAAGAGAAATTTCTGACGCATTTCATCCCATGATGTCACTGTCCCGGCTTCAAGAGAATTGTACCACACCTTCGCCTTATCTCTAAGAGAGAAAGAGAAAAGGCGGAGGCGAATAGCATCCTCCTGGACTCCATTGTACTTCACAGTACTGCATATCTCCAGAAATTGCGCCAGGTGCGCATTCGGGTCCTCAATAGCACCTCCCCCAAACTGCTCTTGCTGAACCGTTGGAATCAAGGACGGGCTCAACTCAAAAGTATTAGCAGCAATTCTCGGCCCGTGACCTCCTCCATATACTTGGTCAGCTTGAGGTTGAAAGATGCTCCGGACCGGTGGTCCTGTCTCCTGTTGAGCCTGCTGCTCGGCTAGCTGGCGTTGTAGTTCTGCCAGTTGTGCTTGGAGCTGTCTGTACCTCTCTTCACCTTGTTCCTCCATTGCGCCTCTCAGTCGTTGTTGTAGTCTCCGGTTTGCGTTGTTCCTTCGGCAACTAGCTTCGATCTCGGGATCAAATTCTGCGGATGAACTCCCATTAGACCTCGTGATCATGCAAGTACCTGTCAAAACACACACACCAAAAAGGATGCAGTTAGGAACCAAAGTATAAAACAAAAATAAAAATGACTAAAGTAATATCTACCCGTCTTCTTCTAATATTAATTAATTTTAACAAAACAATCCCCGACAACGGCGCCAAATACTTGTTCGCAAAATATTTTCACTATCCGCAAGTGTACGGTATAGCTATAGTGAGTGGTGAGCAAGGTCGTATTCCACAGAGATTGTTGTCAAAATAGCTAAATATCTGGGCTGCTAGTTGTAGCGCGCAGTGTACTAGTGAATAGGAAAAGCTAATTTATCTTATTCAATCTAATGCAAATTTAAATGGTGATTTTATTCTAAACTAATGAATGATTATAAAATAAATTCTAGCACTAATGAAGGCGTTCTGAAATAAATAAAGAATGAGAGAATAGATTCTAGGCTATGCTTTCCTCGGGATTATTCTAGCAAAGATTAATTATTCATTCAAACCTTATTTAACTCTACCATTCGTAGGGATAATCGCCTAAGTAATTTACACCTTTCTCACGAACAAGTTAAATCGTAGATATTAATTGTTATCTATCTCCTCTCGGTCTCAAGATGAACAATCAACTCCCATAAGCTCCTAAGATTCTAGTTCCCTCGCAAGATTCTATCAACCTCTCGGTCTGTTTAGTCTCTTACGTTATGAATTTTCCAATTCTAGCAATCAACTATCTCCTCTCGGTCTCAAGTCAATCAAAAATATGCATAAATACGGGCCCTATATTCACACAATTAATAAAAGCACAAGAAATTAATAAACGAATGATAAACCGGAATGAATAAACAAAATCACTTCATAAAATAATCCAAGTACTCGCAAATCCTAGAATCTCTAAAAGGTTTAGCTACTAAACATATTCTCAAAACTCAAAATAAATAAATCCATGAGTTCAATGAAGAAGAAAAAGAGAAAAGAAAGAATTACTATTGTCGCCGTTAGTTCCCGAGTCTTCAATCTTGACTTCCTCGAATCCCTTGTGTGTTTCGTGCTTTCTCTAGGCCTCCAATGATGTCAAAGTCCCAAAAACGAGTTCCTCAGGTCTGTTTTATACTGTAGGGCACTTCTTGGCCGAAAAAGGGAAGAAATCGCGTAAAAATCCTATTCCCCGTCAGATCTGGTATGCGCGTCACACGAGTCGTGTCACATGCCACACGATTCGTGTGACTTTTCTCAACATTTCGGCGAACTTCCAGACTCACACGGCTGGTCACACGACCGGGTCACACGAGTCGTGTGAGGCCACACGACTCGTGTTTCAACCCACACGACTCGTGTGAAAAAGCCGTAGCTGTGTCATAAAGAACTGGAATTACACCGGGATGTGCATGCTTTATGCATAAAGTTAAGAGACGCTCTCTTTCAGCAAGGTCTAGATATTGCCATTGAAGCAGAGAAAGCAGAAAAGATGGAGGAGAATGCGTCTCTTATTCTCTCAACCCACACAACCCGTGTCACTACCCACAAGAGTCGTGTGACCTCTTCTGCACCCGTTTTCACCGTTTTTCGTCCCGATTCCATTCCCAACGCATTTCCGGGCATATTTTCTGCAAAACCAATGACAAAAACACCTCTATTATAGATTAATAAATAAAACAAAATGGTGCACAATCACACGATAACCATGGTCAAATATCACAATATATCACTAATAATGCATGAAAATATGCTGAATGTCACCATCCTGCCGCTAGGCAATCGCGTTTATTTATGAATAAATTTAATTCTTATCCCTAAAGCTCGAGATTTATAAAGTCCTACTTAACCTCCTTGACTTATAAAAATTAAATTATACTTCTTGACTTAATAAATTATATTAATTGGCATATTTACCAATTTAATTAAAAGCTTAGGATTAATTTTTGAATTAATCTTTTGTATTTGGAATTTTACCAATTTAATTTGGTGCTTAAAATATTAAATTGGTTCCATCCAGAAATATTAAGGATATAATACAAATATTTATAAATAATGGAACTAGTTAAAAAATTAATGAACTATGATATGATACAACTATACCATATTTCAATAATAAATTTATTACTATTTTGAAAGCAACATTACCTGTTCATGTTTATCGGGATAGATTTAACTCCATCATTCTGCCTTTCATTTATTTGAATGGCAACTATCTCTACAATATTTACTTTCAAACAAACATGTAACCGAATCATGTTTTTTACATCTCCATCATCGGACAAACTAACTCTTTTTTTTTTTTTTCCATTTCGCGCAATATAGCTTAGCATGACGGATTCGAATTAACATTCTATCACCTCTTAGCAATGAGAGTGTACATTTTGTCAAACGTTGATCCAAGGTGCATAGAGAACACAAATAATCCATTTTTGTAGGTACAACTCCCTAATGTATCACTTTGTGCCCCTTCCATGTATCTAACAATAATTGGATAAAATAAAAAATAACTTCACATTTCTCGGCAGATATGGTACCAAACAGCATTAAAGTGGTATTACGATATACAAACAGCGGTACAAAAATAAATAATATTGGTACAATAATCATTCTAATCTTATATTTTTGTTTTAGGGTGAATAACACCTAACATAACCTACAAATAGCATCAATTTGGTATATATGAACAACAAAAAAGAGATTATAATCACTTTATGTGTTTTAGCGTAAATATAAGTAACAATTTTTAAAATTGAATCCTTAACAAATTAACTAAAAATATATGAATTAAAGACGATTTTTGGACTCCAAAGTTCTCATATAATATATAGGTTACTCGCTACTTCAAATTTTGGTCAGAAAATGGTCAAATGTTGCCGGAAAAATACCAATTTTTCGCCGGAGAAAATTCACATCCGAATCACTTCTTTCATCGGATTTGTTGCCGTCAGAGTTCTTCTCGCCGGATTTGATATCGCCGGAGGACGAACCTGTAAAAAAAATAAAAAATAAAAAATAAAAAAAATATTGCCAAAAAAGGTAACGGGAGGGAGGGAGACGGGGGAGGTTTTTTGGTGGGGAAGAAGATTGATAAAAATAGTATATAATTATGTATGGTAGGTATAAGAAACTAATTTTGAAAAAACAAAAGGTATAAGAAACTAATAAAATAATGTATAATGTTAAGTGTTAGTGGAGTGATGTCATAACTTCATTTATTTTTGATTTATTTTAAAGAGGGGGAGTTAAGTGGAATAATAATTAGAGGGGTAGGGAGTGTAGAGGATTTTTTTTTTATGTAGGGACTGACATGGAAGTTTGAAAGAGGATTGGGGATTTTTAAAGAAGTGTCCCCTTTTTAGGGCATANATTTTTAAAGAAGTGTCCCATAAAATAAATTATCCAGAAATATCCGTAATTCAAACAGGGCACTACATTTTATATCTAATCACTCCCAAAAGCCTCTTAGATTTTGCAAATACCCTGCCCACAATCATATGCATTCGTACGTAGATTGCAGCGCCTTGTTTTTTATTTATTTAGTTTATCAAACTTTTCATACCACAAGTTGCAAATTATTTATTTTTTTCCACATAGTTTTTAAGCCCGGTTTGGAAATCGACCCGGACAAGCATCCGGGTCACTGGGTCAACTGTCGGGTCACCGAATCAATTGCGGAACGGGATAATTAATATTTAACTTTAAAAATATATATAGTATTTTTATCATAAAAATATACATAAATGTAATAGAAATAAATGTTTTGTATATAAATTGTGAACATCAAAATGTTAATAATATTGTATCTTATAATAAATATAAATATTTATATAGAATTTTTATTTTTAAATAGATAAATATATTTATAAAAATAAAGAAATGGGAACAAGGTAAAACTGGGTTGATCCGGCCGGGTCATAGGTGGGTTTTGACTAGGTCCGAAGTCACTGATCTGAAGCACCTGATGTGGCTTGCAGTAATAAAATATAGTATGAGGAAATATTTGACTCCAAAATTTGAAAATTTGCTCAAATAGACATACAGTGGGTAGAAGCTGTTTGGTGTGGACATCAGTTATTTCCTCTCTAAACTCCTTTTTTATCCCTTTGAAAGCACAAAATAAATAATTTAAAACAACAAAATTACAAACGTTTTCCAAGATAAGAAAATAATCACACAATATAATGAAACACAATCACACTACAATGTTTCAAGCCTTCTATCATCCTTAAAAAAAAAATGTATTACTCAATCTAGCTCTAATCTTCTTGAACTTAAATGATATCGACTATGCTCAAGGCATTACACCTTTTGTGCGCCCTTCTGCCAACCTTTTTACGTGCAGGGGCAAGTGAGCTTCATGTCAATTTCAAGACAATGAATCCTATGAATATTATGTCTTTTTCTGTGGAGTAGAAATACAATCCATGAAAGCTTGGGCAGTGCTAGTAGGGACACTTGGCCAAGAACATGTATGCTTTTTCTAGGGACGATCACTTAAGAGCTAGGGACTATTGTGCCAACATAACCAAATCCAGCGATAGTGAATGTGATTACTTGAAGAAAGAGATAAATGAAATAATTGTTCTTTCCATAAAGGAAGTCATAGCACCCGCACACAAATAGAAATGCTGCGAAGCCCAGCTCGTGCAGCTGTATTCTGCAAAAATATAAAAGGGCACGAATATTGTGAGTTGATTGAACAACATTTGCGACATAACATGCCGAGTAAATCAAGAAATCTTCATTCCTACTTATTTTCATTTTACAGAGGATGGACCTCCTCCCGCAGAGGGTACTTGTAATTCAGATAGATAACAGAAAAACTTTAAGTGATTTACCTTGAAATTGTTATTGTCAAAGAAGCGCATGATAAATTCGAAAAAAATGATGATTAGTGCCATTTTCTGCATTTTTGCAATCTATAAGATACATTATTCATGCAAACATTTTCTGTTTGGAATTTTTTATTGGTATACCTGTCTCCAAGTAGCTTGGATAGGGAAATCTTGGGCTTGTTTGATTTGGAGTTGGATTTGTTCTTGAGAGCATCTCCAAGTTTTTCAGTGACAACCCATTCGTTGACTCTCTTAGCCTCCAGAAGGCCAATAATCGTGGCCTTGGTCCGGTGGAAAGACATGACGTTCTCAAAAAGCACCCAATAGAACAACAGATGGAACGACCTGAACCAAAAACCAATCAATTCAAGGGACGTTGTAACTCAAATAACTTTCGACCTTGTTTGGCCTAATTGCAGAAACACAATTCAATTTAAATTACTAACTATGGAGCAAAATAAAAGTTAATGAGAATTTTTTTGAGTACTCAGGTAATGTATATAGGGTAGTTCAATTTCTATAATCAAGTTGTGTTACCTTGGAGTCCCGACCGAGTTGAGTGTGGTTATGATGCAAGGGATGTAAATGGCTCCCCATTTCGGGACATAGACTTCGGGCACAAGGATCGTCAACGGTAAAACCACACAGTAAAAGAAGAAAGTGAACATGTGAGCGATGATCTTCCGCACAAAGAAGAAGCTGTAAATCACGTAAAACTTCTTGTACAGTGTCACTTTCTGCAAAAACAAAAATAAAAATAAGAAAGCAATGCCATAACAAATTATCAAATCATGATAACTGTAAAAACATTAATAATTATATTAGAGAATTTTCTCTTGTATTGTTTATTAAATATATGGACAAACCTTATTCAGAGCAATTTCCATCATCATTTTTCTGAATAAATTGGCAGGCCCACAGGACCAACGATGCTGCTGGAATCGGAAGGCCTTGAAAGTACTTGGAAGCTCGCTTTTTACCTATTTATAAATTTCCACAAAAAAGAAAAAAAAAACATGTTTAGTTCCCGGGATTTAGTTTATGTGACAATTTAAATATCGTCAAGAATTTCGGGTTAACTACAGACAAAACGTGGCAAATGTCAATTGAAAATGCACCTGGAGATCACCCAAGTATAAGAATTTCCAGCCCTTGAGACCAGCTCGGACGGCTAAATCCATGTCCTCCACTGTTGTTCTATCCTTCCACCCGCCAGCCTCATTGATGGCCGCAATTCTCCATATCCCACCCGTCCCTAGGGATTCATGAGCCAAATGTTTAAGGGCTTGATTGTTTATGAATTATTTCATTCTCATTTATTTCATACTCAAAATCTAACTCAATTTTAACTCAACCCCACTATCTTTAATATTATTCATATAATTAAATAATACAAACCAATCATTCTTACACATCACATCAACTTCAATTCACTATTCATCTACTCACATAATTTTAACTATCAATCATTTCTAATCATTTATCTGCTACTTTTACATCAAATCAATTTTAATCATTTTATTTTAAATATTATTATAATACATTCTTAAAATTGCACTAACAATTAATCATACCACCTTTTCAAATTTAACTATGGTTAACCAAAATAATTCATTTTGAACAAATTATTTCATAAACAATCACCCTAAACCCTAAACCCTAAACCTAAAAAAAAAAATATGACTTACCATTGAACCCGAAAAAGGCATGAGTGGCTGAACCAACTTCTTGCTCAACCGTAAAATGATAGTCCAGCGACATTTCTTGCATTCTTGTCAGTAGGCATTCATCTGCATTCACTGTAACAACAACCAGAAATGATTTCATATTCATGCTAGTTATTTGGACAATTTTAAGTGAGTTTCAACTTAAGAATTAAACACAATGTGCAACTACTTATATATTGAATGTGTGAATGTGAATGTGATGCTCATGGTTTGTGGAAGTACGAAAAAGAATAACAAGTGAAGCTTATAGTTAAAAGGGGTTGGTTTTTATTTACATGTCTTGACTCGTGAACATAAAGTGAAGTTATCTTTTGGGGCAAATAATGAATATTAACTAACACTATATTTACTATTTCGTATTTACTGTGGTCTTTATCAAGTTATATCCAAAGAAGCCCAAAACAAAGAAATTGAAACAACATAGATTAGGACCATATGAACATGAAAATAGCTGTAATTTTCTGACACCACGTGATACCACCACGTTAATAAATAATTGCCAAGTCACCCCTGAATGTCAGGGACTGGAATTAACATAAATTCTAAAATTTATTGATTGGCCCAGTATTAATATGTAACGTGGACGCTGTCTGGAGAATATATATGCCCCAAGTGCGGCTCCACCAGCGGCCCCTGGTACACGATGTTGCCACTAGCACATGGACAGCAGCAAAATGACAAATCTACCCTAAGTTTGACCAAATATCATATTTTTATCTTTTTTTTTTTTATTTCATAATAATAAATCAAGGTGAAGTATAACGCAAGATAATCACCAACTTTTAATTGTTGTTTGTCCGCATGCGACGAAAAGGACAAACCTGCCCCGGATATCTAGAAGCAGTTCCATGCCGATTAATCCGGGGGTGGGTAGATACTTCCATCAAAAGATGAGTACAATTTCGTCATTCAACGACGATAATAATATTAAAATCAACAATTAAGATTTTGCCACCACATTATTTATTGATAAATCAAGTAAATTAGTTGAGTTATTATGATTAGAGGTTTCTAATTTTAAGTTGGACCACACGCATTTGTCAAAAGAAAAACACTGGTTTAAGATTTTCTTTCACGAAAAAGTAGGAAATACCCTCTAGTCTAGCATCAATTATACATACGTGATTTTTATGTATTTCAATTCCATATAGGCTTTTGGTAGGTCCACAATCGTAAACAAAATGTTGGGGTGTATAGTATGAAAAATGGGCGAGTAATGAAGTCAACTTAATAAATACGCCTGAACTAGCTAATCAATATTTTACTTACATCATCATATATTCAGTCACATTACTTAATTCACTATTATTGACCCGTGAATGTCCGTCCGTAGACCAAAACAAAGAGTTAGCTGCACAAGAGCCTCGCCTATTGACAGGGCCCACAGTACCGCAAAGCATGCAGCAAATCTCTCCAAGAAACCACCACAGAAAAAAAAATGTGTGGGTCAAAAGCCCAAAAGAAAAAGAAAAAGAAAAAGAAAAAAAACCTAAAGAGAATATGCACATTTATTTCCCCACCCAACAGCAACAGTGATAATAATGGACTAAGCCCACCGACACTTCACACTGTTATTTAGCATATAATAAAACAAATTAACAGAGAGAAAATTGTTCCACGAAATTCACTCAATTCCAATTGCATGTTAGGTTGTTGACAAATATGAATTTCCCACTCTAAATTGCGTTTGTATTAAAATTCGATAAGGTATTGTAGGTTGACCAATTTAAACATCACCGACAAAAATATGTAGTAAGGAGCGAAGGTATAAAAACTTACCAAACCTCCAACGAGCTTGGACGAGGGCAATGTTGGAATTATGAATTAGGAAAGGGACGGCCCGTCTGAGAAAATCGGGCTCGGGCCTGAAATCGGCATCAAAGATTACGACGTACTCACAATCCTTTACATAGTCATGTTTTAATCCTTCTTTGAGGGCCCCAGCCTTGTAGCCTCCTCTTGTCTCTCTAATTTGGTATGTAATATTAATGCCTTTGCTTGCCCACCTTAAGCATTCTCTCTCAACCATGTCCTAAGCCATATTCAATAATTGAACATTAATTATAAAAAAAAAAATAAAAAATTGAAATAAAACAATTTATAATAATAATAATGATGATTGTTCTTTTTGGCAAGTAATTAAAGAGGTGTATTCATTTGGAATTTTTAAAGATTTTTTTACACTTAAGAAATTATGGTATATTTAATTTATCTTTTTAAAGACTTTTAAAATCATAGGTTATTTTTGTTATTTTAAAAAATCTTACAAAATTATGAAGTATTCAACTTATTTGACACTAGGATTTGTTAAGACTTATTAAAATTTGTTGAGATTTCTAAAGAAAAAAAAACGTATACGAAATTCCATTCAAAATCACACCTCTAAACTTAAGATTTCATAGTTAAGATTTCACAGATTGCTTCAAAATTTAAAAATTTTAAAATGTCGCAAAATATTACTCGAAATCTCAAATGAATACACCATATTAGAATCTAGATTTTATTTAGTACTGAAGAAATGATTTGGTTGAACCCAGACCACTAGACCAAAAATATTTACAAATTTGAGTTAGACTTTAGAATCAAACCGATGCTACATTAGGTGAAGGGACAAACCAGAAGTCAGTAGTAATGTGCTGGTTTTTTGAGATTCGAGCTTTAAAAAATAGGCCATAGGTGAAGGGACAAGAAATTCCAAAAACCCAATTTGATCTCATTTCAGAAAAAGTCCAAAATCATTGCATACCATAACATTAACACCACCATGGTCAATGACCTAAAGCTCTTTATAAGTAATTTTCATTTTTTAAAGAAAACTAAATTGAGGAAAACAATTAAAATAATTAGGGGAAACAAAAGGAAGGAAGAAAATAATATTCTTGAGAGAAAGGATCATTTGATAATTCCCAAACTGGCACAAACTGTGGAATTGAACTCATAACCCAACTTTTGGATTTCTCAACCAAATGCCTCAGGCACAAACCCACACAAAAACCAAACAAACAAACAAACACAAAATAACAGCATGAAAATGCTTTTACATAACAAACATAATGCAGAGTACCTTGATTACATAGTCAGTTGAATCATCCAGTACTTGAATCACCAGCTTATCAGCAGGCCATGACAGATTACAAGCTGCACCAATTGAGATNACACACATGCGTGTGTCTGCGTGTAAAATCCAACCGTCACAAACTCCAAACAGAAACAAAAAATAAAAATAAGAAAAGAAAATGAGAAACCTCTTTTTCGTTGAACATAGGGATCTGAACAAGGACCATGGGGAAATTGGCGCTTCCCATCTCCAAATCGGCGTCCCTCATTGGCTCCCATCTGTACCTCTTTTCCGGCTTCTTCCAGAAAAGCTTCACCAGAACAATGACGACGCCCATATACAGCCTCTCCATGAACACCATTATCGACATGGCCAGGCAAATGTACACGCACAGGTTCAGCACCGGCACTATCACCGGCGCCTTTATCAGCTCCCACAATACGCCGAATTGCCCCGCCACGTCTGTCGCGTACACTGGAAAAGCCTCCGGGATGAAGCTCTTCGCATATACCTCCTCACCCATTTTTATTTTTTATTTTTTCAATTTATTCAGACCGAGAAACAGGGGAATGTGTAATCTGAGAATGTGCACTGTTTTTTCCTCTCTCTTACTTTGATTTTATCGGGATTTCAAGGAATTAACGGATCTGTTGAGCTCCAACTGAGCTCCCTCTCTCTCACTATTTTTGTGGCATTTCGTGCAGAGATGAGAGAGAAAGGGAGGATAGATGAATCAGGGAGTGGAGCAAGTTATGGAGGAGTCAGTGAGCAAGGAAATGGGGTGGTTTTATAGTCAATTGTGTGGACTCTTGCCATTTGCATTTTATTCTGTAGTTAAGATTGTTATTTTACCTTTAATCCAAATTCGTTTTGGGATTGTTAATTTTATAGATAATTGCCTAAATTTTAAAAACAAAAGCAATAATGATTGATGAATGGTCAGTGGCTTTTTAAGGGATTGTAGGATTGGGTTTGGTCTTATTTATGTGGCATGTAAATAAACCCAAGTTTTAGATGATATAGATAAAATTATGTAAAATTAACAAAATCTATTCCAATGGAAAGAGACTATGTCTCTACTTGGGTCTAAACTAGACTTAAGGGTAGACCGGATCTCTTTTTTTGGCTGCCACACAGCAAGACTCAGTCTACATTTATTTGCATTGAAGAATATATTTTTTAGACTAGGTCTATTTGTTAGATGCTCTTAAGGGGGCAAATGGATATGAATCCAACCAGTTTTGACCAATTTTATTTTGTTAAAATGAATTAAAGTGAATTTATTTAAAAAAAAATAGATTGAGTGAGTGATTCTCATTTTGATATTAAATAATACTGGTATAACACCCGTGTACTGCACGAGTATTGAATTAAGAAATATTTACATCAAAATATTTAAAGATAGACATAACAATTTTATTTTGATTTTTTGAATGCGTTGCCATTATTTTGTGTGATGTATAATAATCTCCCCACCCACTCAAATAAAAAAGAATGGTATAAATGGTTCATTTTATACATGGTAGTACAAAACTATTGAGATGTGTGAATAAAATTATTTATGGCAGTAAATAAATAATTCACTTTAACAAAAAGTTTTGTAAAAGACACACGAAGGATGTGGCTAACACAATAGAAACAAAATATATAGCTAAGCAAAAAAAAAAAAATAATAATAATAATATAAATGATCGGAAAATAAAAGGAAAATTTTTCCAGCAAATTAAAATTTGGAAGATATGGTTTGCCATTTCCATAAACCACAAATGAAATGGATTTGCCATACTCGAGAATTAAATTTCATGCATACAATTCATTTTCATTAATAAACTTAAATTTCATTCTTTTATATGTAAGAGATTTTATTTCATTTTGTATATGTAACAGAAAATTTGTTTTCAGCCCCAGTCGTATTAATATTGGTTAATATTAAATTTATGGAAGGCAATAAATTTATGGTAATGAAAAATAAATTTATAAGGTAAGATTAAATAATTGTTTATGATTGTTTGATTACAAGCCAATTACGTTTCTAAAATTTGTATTCGAACCTAAATACAAAGCAAGATATTTTGACACGTATGATTCCAAAGCATGTGAGCATGCCACTTAGGCTGAACATGTTTTGAATTAATATATAGGGGAAATTTAAAATGTAATGATTAACACTGATGTGACATAAAAGTAAAAAGGATATTATTGGAAATAGGGGCTCGCTCTGGTGAGAAAGGTTCTCAGTGAAAGAAATAAGAATACATCGTGACTAAATTAGATCGGATAATCCAACGGCTAAAACAAATACAAGATTTGACACTCATTAAGGGTAATATTGATATTTCTCCCATTGCCCTTGGGATCCAACGCCACTAACCTATCCCATCTTCTCTCTCACATCACCATGGGCCCCACATCAATCAATCAACCTCTCTCCCTCCCGTGAGTTTGTCGCACTCCCGCCCATCGTCGGTCCATCGCCTGCCACCTCCAGCCTCACAGCCATCGTGTTCCCCATCCGCCGTCGTGCCATCTCTGCTCTGATCCACTGCATCCCCTTTATCCGCGTCGAAGGTCGACGCCGCAGAGCCGCGTCTCTTCAAGGCTACAGACTATCAAGTTAACTTGGCCGACCTGGTCGAGGCGACATTGGTCGTTACCATAAGTCGACGAGGTCGGTGATTCGAGCTTGTCCATATGAGGACGAGCCGACAATTTGGAGCATATCCAACAAAAATATGTTGTTCAAAACTTCAATTGACGGCGAGCGATGACGAGTAGAACAACGATGCAGAGAGCGGTTGTGGGTGAAGCTATGGCGGACAGTAGACGAGAATCATATTATGGGCAGGCATGTGAAAATTAGATGATGTCTAAGGATCAATCTGCAATTTCGATATTTTTTATTATATATCAATTTTTCCCATGGGCCATGAATGTAATTAATAAAATAATATATAAGAAATATTATTTTAAATCTCAGACTAAATGAACAATAATATTAAACATTATGCACGTTAGTGACTGTAAGACTGCACTACAGTGTTAAAACCAAATGCACATTAATACATTCGAGATTAATTTCTTTTAAAAATGTTGTTATTTATTTTCAATAGATAATAATATATAATATTAAATAAAAAAATTAAAAATATCAAATATATTTTTATTCTATAAACAATGTGATAAACGCAAAATAATCTTAATTGAAAACAAATTATACATGTTTGTAAAATGAAAATGCACATAAAAAATGATTAACAGTCTGCATAATAATATTAGACAAAATGTACATTACTGTATGCTGGAATACACAATATCGATTTCGACATTTTATTATTATGTCCTTTTAAGAAAAAATAATATAAATTATTAAATGTAAATGTTAAAATACTAAATATATATTTGTAATATGAATAATAAATTATTTAGCATATTTAAAATAATTCAGTTAACCTATCGAATAAATCGATTATTTTAGTTTGGGTTGGAAAAATAATTAAAAAGGTATGTGAGTGCACAATAGTGTTAGACGAATTACACCTTAATGGCTATCAGATTGCACAATAGGAACCAAACCGAGAGAACCAAAATTTTCGGTTTCAACTTTTATATTTCGATTCAATGAAGCACATATCTACACAAACCATTGTGTAATTCATGTATAAAAAAATGAGTATTTAATAAATTTTTAAAAATTTTGTATAAATATGACAGTATTTTTCTTTTTTAGTGCACATCTACACACGATATTATGCATATTATGTATCGTTATTGTGCATGAATAGTCTTTCATTAAATTATAAATTTGCCTCAAGTATTAAACTATTCCTCTATTAAAAGTTCAAAAATTGCAAGTTAGTCCCATACACCTATCTAATTTTCCAAAATGAGACCCCAACCCCAAAACATCCTACTATCACTCATTTTTAGACCCAACTCGTTGCCGACAATAGCCGACAGACAAAGTTGCCGTCAAGCCACCCCCACCGCCACCGAGACATGGACCGAGATCAGCCTCAAATCGCATAAACCCTAAAAATCCCCCAATCACCTTGGGCGGCGTCGACATGTACTCTGGTGACGTAGACTCATCTCTGAACTTCCTTATCAGTCTGTCAGGAGTCACGAGGCCGCCTCGGCCTCTGCCCTTATTGGCGCCTCTTACGAGAGCGGTGCCGCCGCAGGTGAGCTCGATGAACGGAGCGACGACCAATGCTGAGGATGTTAGCGGGAGGACGCCGACGAGACTGGTTGCCGAGGCACGATGGAAGCACAACCGGAGTCTCCTGCATTGCGGCTGGCGGCGGGCAACGGAGGCCCGCGACGGCCTGTTCTCCTGTGTTTGTTTGTGTGTGTGTGTGTGTAGTGCGCGTTTTGTGTGTTTGTGTGTTTGAATGTGAGATAAGTATTAGGGTTGGTAGGTTGGTAGAAATTACAACGCTACCCTCCAATGTATATTATTGACCAATAAATGACCTATTAATTACGAAACTACCACTGCGAGTTTGACTTTAATTACTAACTTTTGACTTCATCTTGATCATTCATATGATGGATCAAATGACACAAATTTGTTTTTATTTCTTTCTTTGTGTTTCATTTTCATTTGAGTGCACTTATATATGTATATATAGTCATATTATGATATACCGGTCTAAATGCTTGCTACTCGACCAAGAGGGCGGTTTGAACCGTCGGCATGTCGACCGGATAACATTAAAGTCGACATCCCGAAGTTGACTTCTTGGTAGTCGACCTTGTAATGCCCCGTTTATTTGTGGAGTATTTGAGAATTATTATTATTAATGATTATTATTTTTGTGATTATTATTATTATTGTTATTATTATTATTATTATGGTATGCCTAAATATTATTATCTGTGTAATTGTAATTAATTGCCTAAATGATTATTTTTATTATTAATATTATTATTATATTTATTTTAAAATAACGTGCTTAACTAATAACTATTATCGGTTTTATTTAATTTGCTGTGCGATCGAACCGAAATGTAATTGTCATTAAGTTTTTAAAAACTGAGCCCGAGAGCCGGCCCGAGCGAACCGGCCCAGCCAAAGCCGAACCGGTCCAGCCGAACCGGCCCTGACCTGGTTTTTATCCCTTATGCTTGTGTGCGTGTGTTTCTTGGATGAGGGGAAATAGAAAACCCTAGGCTTAATATCTTGCGCTCCTCTCCCTCACGACAGACAAAATGCCCGCAGACAAATCTGCTCTCTCTTCCTCATTTGCTAAAACCGATCTCTCCCTCAGCAACTCTCTCGATCTCTCTCGTCAAAATTTTCTCGCCGCCATCATCCCTACCCTCTCGCTTAATACGATCGCCTCTTTCTTCTCTGACGCGCGATCACCGCTGCCATCCTCCGCGAGCAGCACATCCGCAAGCATCCACCGTCGTCGCGACTCCTCTGCCGCGACCCCGCCACGCCGCGACTCCTCTGCAGCGACCCCGTCGCGCCGCGACCCTCTGCCACGACCAGTAGGCCCACGGCGAGCCTTCTTCCATGCGCAGCGCCTCCGACGACCCTGCTGCTTCTCCGCGCACCCGCCGCTCTCGTCCTCCGTGAACAGGCAACCCACCACCGCGCACAGGCCCCGTCTCCGCCGTTCTCGAGCCGCTGCTCCACCGCGAGTCGCCGTCGAGCACTCGTCGCAAGCCACCTTCGACGTCTCGTCAACTCTCTGTTAGAGTAGGGTACCCGGCGTTCCAATCTAATTGGACGTATTCTACTTGTAAATACAGTCTATTGGAATTATATTATGAATAAGGCATTTCTTTATCTTAAGAGAAAGCATTTATCTTATAATTGCACTTAAGATAAAATCCCTAGATCACTTATGGTTATAAGGTATGGTTGCGCATAGAGATGGTGATCATGGAACATA